TTTTTTTTTTTTTTTTTCCTGGTACTAGGGATTGAACTCCGGTCCTTGTGCTTGCAAGGCAGGCCACCAAACCACTGAGCTAAATCCCCGGCCCTGTAAAGTAGTATTTCTTATAGTAAATTCATAGCATATTAAAGCAAGAGGTTGAAATGTCAGGGGTCATTACAAAAATTTGTACCTGTTACATTATGCTGAGGAAATGGAACCATAGAAATGAAAGAGGCTTAACATGCTAATTCATAATCAGAAATAAAACCTAGTGTTGTCTCTACCATTCTAGTTAAACTAGGCTTAAGGATTTGTTACTTCTATTAAGGGAATCACATCAAAAATAATTATTTAACTTTTTCTCTGTAATACATTTTTTTCTTTCCTTTTTTATTAGAATATGTTTGTAATACATAATAAATACATTCATGGTGGGGAGGTGGTACATAAACTAGCATATTTTGATCCTTTTTTCTTCCCACCTTCTCTCTCCCCATCCTCAGATCACTTTCCCTTCTCCACAAAGTCTATCTTCCTGTCATCTGTCTTTGATTTTGCTCTTAAATTATTTATACTTTGAGTTTCTCATATAAGAGAAACCATAATAACACATTTCACAGGTGAACAATTAGATATTTTTTGTCAGGGATGGTGGGTATCACTATGTAGAAAGACCTTTTCTTCTTGGGATGTGTTTAGAGTTGCTCATAGGAATGGAACTGCTGTAGTTTGCTAATTTTCAAGTCTCTCTTTTGTGTCGCTTGATGCCTAGTGAGTTACTCTCTTGGTTTGTGAAAGTACATATTAGCCACTGATTAAAAATTGTTCTGGTAAACTTCCTACATTGTAAAAGCTATATTATGTATTTAGTGGTTTGAAAATTTTGCTAAATAAGCTTCCACGCATTATCTACTATGCTGTTTCTTTTATTTGATACTTAGATTATTTATAATGAGAAATATAAAATGTAGACTTATTAGGTATTTTTTTCTAAGCTTAGTGTATTTCGTTAGTGAAATACTTCTTTTACTAGGAAGATTTTTTTTTTTTTTTTTTTTTTCTGGTTCCGGGGATCGAACTCAAGTCCTTGCACTTGCAAAGCAGGCACCAGAACCACTGAGCTAAATCCCTGGCCCAGTGAGATACTTTTTTTAAAAATATAAGAATATATCTACTTTATAGGTAAGAGAAAACTGAATTTTTTTTGTTTTGTTTTGTTTTGTTTTTTTGAGACAGGGTCTCACTATGTATGTAGTTGAGACTGACCTGGAACTCACTATGTAGCTCAGGCTGGTCTCGAACTCATAGTGATCCTCCTGCCTCAGCCTCCCAAATGCTGGGAGATGTGCGCCACCACGCCCAACTAGAGAAAACTGAATTTTACAAAATATTTTGTAAAATGCACGTAGTAGAATTTTAAGAATGCAGTTCAGTGGTGTTATGTTCACATTTTGTAACCAGTCCCCAGAACTCATCTTGCAAAATTGAAACCATATCCACCAAACAATTCCCCATACCCTCTTTCCACTACCTCCTGGTAACCACCTGGTAACCACCATTATTATTATTATTTTTATTTATTTATTTATTTATTTATTTTTTAGAAAGGTTCTTGCTGTGCAGTTCAAGCTGGCCATGAAGTCACAATGTAGTCCAGGCTGGCCTTGAATTTGAGGTGATCCTCCTGCCTCAGCCTCTCAAGTGCTGCAGTTGCAGGCATGCACCACCACAGTGGGCTTGCATTTTGTGCGTGTGTGTAATTTAAGCATAAGAAAAATTTATTGAGAGAAAGAATTATTCTAAGAGAGACAGAAGGG